TTCAAATAAAATAATTCCTAATGTTAATGCATTCTAAAATTAATTATTCACATAAATTAACAATGGAAACAAACCTTCTGATTAATCTGTTATATCTCTACATACTTGATATTGTCTTGTCTGATGTACTTCACAAGATAATTCTCGAATTTCTATTTCTGTTCTATTTATTAATGATGATGATGATGATGATGATGATGATGATGAACAATTATTTTGATCACCATAAATTCCATATTGTGGTAAAGTTTTAAATAAAGCTGGAAATCCAAATATTGTACCACCAATTAAATTAACTTCAATTAAAAGTCATATAACACCAAACCATTTTCGAAATATATGATGAACTTTTGTTTCTCTAGTCGTTTTTGTAATAGTAATAGTCATATCGATTCAACAAATAAATCTCAATTTAATTTAAAAAGAGTCTACACTGAAATTTATATGATGATATATATGTGAATTTTGTTTTTTGTTAATTTTCTTCGAATATATAATCACCATTTTTATCTTTTATGAAAGAATTTTTCCAAATGTAATATTTATGTATGTCATGATTTGATTATCAAATGTATTTGACTTATCAGTTCTTTTTTATTCAAAACAATATTAAAAAAAACGCTGGTGTATCGATAAATCGAAGAAAGAAAGAAATTCTTTTTTGATGACAACATTTTATGATTTATTGACAAATATTGACTTAGCCTGTGACTTATATTTACAGATATTTTTAAAAAGATGATAATATTTATTTCTTCCTTTTTTGTCGTTCGGCGAAGGTGAAAGTTGTGATTTTTACCAAATACAAAACAGACGATGCTATAAAAACTTCGATTGACATATAAGGTTTCTTTATGTTACAAAAAAAAACCAATTTGATACAAGTCATAAACTATTACGAGAATCTTACAGCATTCATTTATATAATAATTCATTGATAAGTACAGTTAATTAATATCATTATGAAAGGTTTGTCCATATAGATCTTTCAGAAAAATCAAAACTTATTGTCTTTTGTTAGAATTACAAGAAAAAATGTGTTTGAAACAAAAACTCAGTTTAAATATTGAATGTATTCAATATGAAGAAGAATCAGAAAATTCACCAACATCACCAATATTAACTTCAATTGGAGCAAAATATTTTCGTCGATAACTGAGTGAAAAAAATTTTGGTAAGTCTATCGGAAAAATGGTCATGCATTATAAAATATATCGTCGATATTTCCATTCAAATTGTGATTAACTGACAGCTTTCACAGCATAAATTAACAAAATATATGTCACTCATTTCTAAAATCAAATCATAGAGTTTACAAGAAAATTATTCAAGGAAATCTGAAAAATTGATATTGATTTATTTACTTTTTGAAGAATTTATTTTTTTTTCTTCAGATGAATCTCAAATGACGAATCGTTTTGATGATGAACAAAAACCATTTTTATTTATTGATGACATTGAAAAATCACCATATAAAATTGCTAATATCAATCTAGCTGAATTAGGTAGAAAAGAATTATCAATGGCTGATGATGAAATGGCAGGAGTAATGTTATTGAGAGAAATCTATACTCCTAAACAACCATTGAAAGGTGTTCGTCTTGCTGAATGTTTACATTTAACAGCACAAACTGGAGTTATGATTGAAAAATTTCGTCAATTGGGTGCACAAGTAAATTATTTTTTTGTTTTTCAAA